TCACTCCAGGGTCAACCCCATCAGGTGGGCAGGTCGGCCCCTTGGTCTCTGCCTTCCTGGACAAACTGGATTAAAGGTTGCCAGGCAGCCTGCCTTTCTGGCCTTTAGAAATGGTGACAGATTCATTTAGACTCAGGGGCTACAGAGTTGGGAGCTCAGGTGCTGCAGAAATGGCAGGTGGTTGGAGCTGAGTTGACAGCAATTAAATGTACAAATCTTTGATTAGGCTCCCGGGAATGGAGTCATTAGCAACCCTGAATGGACCAGCTTGCCTTCCGCTGCCTCATTAGCTGTTCCACTGATATTACTTTAAAAAGCCAAGGGGAGAGGGGGGAAAAAAACCTTTCCAACACAAAATGAGGAAAGTTGAGTGACAAAGCAGAGGTGGAGGGGAAGAGGCCAGTGTAAGCATTTCTAGCCGAACAAACAGGTCCCTGCCTTGTTTATGGTGTGGTCGTGGACATGAGCATGCATGTCTGCTGGACTATGAATTAGCCCCGTACTTGCTCGACTGGTCTGCCACGAAGGGCTTTTTCTTTTTTCAAACAGGCTTTTTCACAATCCCTAGTTGATTCGCTATTTCCAGCCCAAGCCTCAGATTGGAGGAAGTTTTCCTCTGGGGTTCTTGTCCTCATCTGCCATATCCCGAGCAGAGCCACTGCCCGGCTCTCTACAGCTTTCCCAGTGGTGGCTGTGTCTAGGGTCTGAATTCCTCTTTTTGGCCTCACGGAATCTAAGCGCCACATCTGTGCTCCAGGTGCCCCCGGTGGCTCCCTCCACCAGCTGCACAGTGACCTGTCCTGTAGATTTCCTCTATGTGATTGGAGCAGCACTGGGGTCTGAGTAAAAACGCCCATGTGCATTAAATAATTTTCACCACAGGGAGCATTAGAACAAAAGGGAAATATGTCTCACAACCTTAAAGTAAAATCCGCTTGACTATTTATTTGATATGGACCTAATTTGTTGCACAGTGCATTTTTATTGTTCTCAATATGCCAGTTACTGGACTAGATTAATATTTATAAATCTCTGCAGATAGTTATTGATTGCCTATTATAAACCTCACTTGAACTTGCTGTGAGAAAGCTATGAGTGAGGGTAAGTCCCACTTTTTGAGTTGAAAATCTATTAGAGAGGCATCATACCCTCCTGCCCTCATTTAATCATTTATTCGACAAATATCTGCTGTGTACCTGCTCAGTGTTATTCTTGTCATTAAGAATACATGGGATAACACAGTGTAAAAATTACAATGGCATACTGATAAGCATTCTATATGCATTAAGTCATTTAGTCCTCTCAAGTCTTTGAGAAGTACTGTTATTATCTTTACTTTAGAAATGAAGAAGGTAAAACACAGAGAGAGTAAATAACTTACTCAAGCTCACATTGCTAGTAAACAGGAGAACTGAGGTTTAAACTCAGGCCGCTGGGCTGCTATGCTCCTTCAAGGTGCTTTCAGTTTAATAGAGAGGATAAATAGTGTGACAAGCACATGTGTGTAAAGTATCTTTAAAAAGCACATTCTAGGGGGAAAAGGAATTACTAAGTGGCCAACAAAGAAAATGCACATCGGAAATGATGCTTGATCTGATCCCAGTTTTAAATTTTAAAAAAAATCCAAATCCACCCCATAATCCAGCAGTCTAGAAAGCTGAGACAAAAAGACCTCAAGTTCAAGCTCAGACTGCAATTGAACAACTCTGTGAGACCCTGCTCCAAAATATAAACTAAAATAAGAAGAGGAGGTTGAAAGAGTTGAGATCAATCCCTAATATTGCAATAAATAAATAAATAAATAAATACCAGGCAGAGAGAGACAGAGACAGAGAGTGACAGAGAGAGCATCATGGCTTTCACAGATTTAAAGATATTATGATCTAGCAACAAACTTTACCAAAGGTCATTGATTCCTAGGGCACATTTTTTGAAACAAGGATATGAAGTAGACTGATAACATTGAAAAGATCCCATCAGAAACTGAAGATGTTGGCAGAAAGATTTTATTAAGAAAATGTTAACTACATAAAATCTTTAAGAGCCGGTAGGAGTAGAGGGTGGAGAATCAGTATAGCAGAGAATTCAGGAGAAGGGGAAGGAGAGGGCGTGGCTGGCAGAGGGAGCGAGAGAATAAAGACACAGATGTGTTTCCAAGGCGCTGAACACAGGAGGTGACGCTGGACGACCCAGCTGAGTCCAAACATGGAGGGCCTTGCAGGAGAGACCCGGTTTGATTCTGGAAATGTACTGAAAGTTTTAAGAGCAAGGAGTAGGGAAGTAGGGAACTAAAGTAAAAATGACAAGAGAATACTAAGGAAAGTAATTAAAAATGATCAAATTAATATATGAAAAAATATACTTTTCAAGTTAAGAAATGTAAGGAGGTGTTTTTACTCAGAACAGCAATCACTTTCAAAGTTTTTTTGAGGATCAAATATGATAACAGGAATTCCTTCCTAAATCATAATGTTCTATACAAATGTCATTATTAAACAATGTATCTTTGTGACCTTTAATATACTGATCTTTTGGTTTGAAGTCAGGATGACACCAAATTGTTTGAATGTCTTCAAGGACCATTCAATGGGGCGGGCCACGTCATCGCTGGGGCTTTTCTGTTTGTCATTGACAAATGTGAGAAGCTTTTCTAAAACACCATGGGAGAAATGACTGCTCAGAGCTCCCTGGGGTCCAGAGAAAGTGGCATTAGCACATCTACATTGCTATGGGCTCTTTCTGTGTCATCACCACCAAGAAGTGCGTCCTTAACCAAAGAAAGGAAATGAGAGTTGCTCTCTACACTACCAGCAACTACAAAAGAAGCTGGTGTTAAAGAAGGCAGCACCAGGATCATGTTCTCTACATTCTTAACTTGTCCACCTAACCTACTGACTCCCCCAGACCAGGGCCTGCTTCTGAAAAACACACCTACTTCTCTTGCTCACTCTTTCCTTTGGGGGTAACTGGGTTCATTTATGCAGCATGTTTCAGTTGCTTTTGACTAAATGATGCCTTGTCCTTTCTTCTGTCATTTCTATCCAGAGTCAACAGCTTTCTTCTACAAATCCTCCTTTGCTCATGGTGCTAGAGTCCCTACTGCCCCCAGGTCAGTGGGGAGCTGCGTGATTGCTGTGGGAGGTCATCCAACGATTTTGGACTTTCCCAAACTTGAAGCTGATAGATAACCCCAGGGCAAGTAGAAGCAGACAATTAAAGTTAAATATATTGTTTTTCGTAATTGCAAATTAGAGCCAAAATGAAAACGGGGTCCCATCTCTTCAATAATAATGATTAACACATATGTATAATTTCTTGTGAGGTCATTTCTTTCCCTTGAGCCTTTCTGGGACAAACAAGAGACAGAGGAGGATCACTGTTAGCTGCCTGAGCCTGTTTTCACAGTTGCATCTCGGAAATATCATTTCACCTGCACCCACACTGTCCTAGACTGTCCCTGAGCCTACTTGATGGCAAATCTTCCACCCTGCATAAGTGTCACAGCCTGCATCTCTCCTCCTGTCCTCGACTCTTTAACAGAAGGACCAACACTGCCCAGCAGTGCAGATGATGCTGCCGAATTCATGAGCTTCTCCAACTGAGCTCATGCAAATGTTGACAGTCAACCTTCCCCTTGACCTAGCTCAGCACCCTTTCAGTAAAACTCCAAATATTCACAACTCTGCAGGGAGCCTCAGAGATCATTTGTACATCTCACTCATATTATGTGCTTCTACTTCCAGATGTTTAAAAACCCTCAGACTGTGTTGTGCAAACTTAAACTTGTTTCCAGGGACAAAAGCTTCCACCTACTAACTTTGCTGCTAGAGTCTCACCGAGGGTGAGGGCAATGGTGGGTTTTGTTTCTTATTCTCTTCTGCACAGATGCAAATGCTTGAGAGCTCTGTGTACCATGTCCACTTGTATCCTCTTGAATTGTGATCTGGAATGTCCCCACAAAGGCCCATATACTAAATGCTTGGTCCTTAGCCCCTGGTGCTACTGGATGGTGGAAACTTTAAGAAGCACGGCCCACAGGAAGCGCTTCCAGTCCCCAAACACCTGCACTCAAGGGGTTGTGGGACACTTGCCTTTTTACTGTTGCACTTCTTGTTCTGTCATGTACACTCCCATCATAAGGTGCTGCCACAGGCCCAGAGCAAGGGGCCAAGCAATCATGGGCTGCATCTTGCAAAACTGTGAGCCCGAATAAACCTTTTTTCTTTATAAATTGACTGTTACAGGTAGTGTTTATAGGATCAGAAAGCTGATTAGTGCATCTTTTTATCTTGCCTCTACAACATCGTCTTCTTCATATGCTGTTTCCTATCAGTATAAACTTTGTTCACTGTCTCATTGGAAGTAAAAGAGTATGTCCTCTACAGCCACGATTTTCACTTTCTTGACTTCCCTACACACTTCTCTCTTGCTCTCTTTTACTTTTCTCCCCTGAATACCTCAAACGGTGTCATTGTTCTCTGTCTCTACTCCCTTACGGCACATTCCTTCCTCCCCCTACTTGCCAAATTAGTCGCCCCCGTCTCTGCCCTTCCTTGGTAGATGCACCTATGGCATAAAGATGGCCAATTTCTCCCTTCTTCAACCTTTGCTCCTATAATATCAATCTTATTTTTCCATTAATCTCTCTTCAATGGGCTGATTTTTTTTTTTTTTTGCTTCTTAAACAATGTGTTTGTCGTTGTTTTGTCTTATGTCTCTCATTGTCTCACCACACTTTCTTTCTCAATCTCTTCCACTTCTATGATTCCATAATCATCCTTATGCTGGAAACACCCATATCAGTACTTCTAACCGAGATCACCTTCTTCTCCTTCTCCTTCTTCTTCTTCTGCTCCTCTTCCTCCTCCTCCTCTTCTTCTTCTCCTCTTCCTTCTTCTTCCTCTTCTCCTTCTTCTTCTCCTCCTCTTCCTTCTCCTCTTCTTCTTCCTCCTCCCCAGCCTTTTCCACCTCCTCCTCTTCTTCTTCTTGAGCTTCAATGTAACCTTGCCAAAACAAGGCCTCAAACACTTGGTTGAGGACTCAAAGTTCTTCTTCTCCATGGAAATCATCATAGTAAAAAATAAAAGATTTATATGATCTGAAGAGAAACCAAAGTTACAGCTGAGATCCTTTAGTAAGTTTTGTTTTCATATGTATAATGGTCTCCTGGGCCTCGCCAACTGGCCACCTACAGATTCCTCAGACTCATCCTTTACAAATTATATACACATCCTTGTCTTTCTTACACATGCTTCTTTGGCATGTGCCTATACCAGCAGACAGGATCATGCTCATCTAACCACTTAGCTTAGACACCGTGGGAATATCCTCAGTTCTGTCTTTGCCTTCACCAACCCATGTCACATTTGCCTCCTAAATTTCTCATATATGCCTTTTTCTTCTGGCTAATATTAGTGCCACTCATCTGCATTAGTTGGAACCTTACCATCTCTCACTTGGGCTTTGGTAATACCACCAGTAGAACCTTCCTGGCTCCTGTCTTGTTTTCTCAAACTAATCTACAATATCGACCTTGGGAAAATCCATCTAAATTATAAATCTGGCCATGTTGTTCCCATGCTTTAAACTCTTTTAAAACTTCCATAGGCTTGGAGGGTAGAACTTAATGATAAAGCTTGTCATTGTCCTTTGAGTCCTCGGCTGTATTATTCACCCTGTCTTGCTACTACAGTTTTAATAGAGGTCCTTTGTCAAAGGCCTTGTCCCAGAGTGGTGTCACTTGGGGGTTATGTGGATGTTGAGGAGGTATAGCCAAAGGAAAGGATTTTAGGGCATCGATCTTACCTTTGAAGAGGACTTTCAAGACCCAGGTGCTTTGTCTTCCTCTTGTGTTGCCTACTGGTGAACAATTTTGCTCCACCACATGGGCCTTCCATCATGCACCACCTCCCAATATGCCCAAAGCAATTGCAACTTCCAAAGCTGTGAGCCAAAATAAGTATTTTCTATTTAAAAGTCACTTATCAGACAGTTGTTAAAAAGTTACTTGCAGATCGTTGTTATAAAGCCAGAAAGCTGAGTGATACATTTACCTTTCATTACATTTCTAGTAGCAGCATCATCATTCACTCTTATTGTTATTCAGTGAGTGTTTATTATATACCAAGTACTAGAATCATCTCTTTATATGCATTATATCAAATAGTCATCACAGTAGCATTATCTGGCGGGTACTTTCATCATTCTCACTTATACACAAGGAAACTAGGTCACAAAGAGGGTAAGTACACTGTTAAATTAATAAGGTTCTGTGTGTTGATCTGCCTTTTCAGCTTGGTGTGCACGGTTCTCCTCCTGTGACATCACTTTTGAACACTTGCCCTGGTTTTGGCCTTTCAACCTCCACACTCTTGCCTGTGCAGTCTTGTCTTTCTTCTCCACCTTTGCAGTTCCTACCAGTGTTCAAAAGCAGCTCAGACAGCACAATATACAGCCTTGTGTCTTCTTCCCTTACAACCAGAGTGACCCCCAATGGTTACTCTGTACGTAAGCCATTTGGAAAGTCATTGAACAACGCAACTGGCTCTAGTGTTGTGAAGCACCCTCTTCACTGCCTGAACTGTTCTCCAAACCAATTGCTGACAACCATTATTCAGGTCTGCACACATTTGTTTATTCCTTTCCAGGGCGTATGTATTTTGAATTGTTTACACTTTTCTACCACCATGCACAATTAATAGAGAATTGGTGTCTCTTCTTTTGGGACTGTAACTCTAATCAGTCTTTCCATCCTAACATTCTTCTTATCCCAGGCTTACAGAAGGGGCTTCTTTCAATTTTTTCTAACCTTAAATATAGTCTGTTCCTTTTCTCCTGATCTGCCTTCTTATCTACTGTTCCCTGACCCTATCCCAGCCTACATCACCCACCATACAATGCAGGGTGCACGGAGAAGATCAAACTGAGTGTCAGGCTCTGTTGCCACTGGCCAACCACATCTCACATGCTAATGTTTCTTACTGTCTTAGTCCATTTTCAGTCACTATTACAAAATGTCTGAAGCCACATATTTTGTAAACACTGGAAGTCCATGGAGAGCAGCACCTGCTGAGGGCCTTCTTGCTCTATCATAGACTGGCAAAAGGCATCACAAGGCAGGCCAGTGCATGTAGACTGGCTCAGGTCTCCATCCCTCTTCTTTTAAAGCCACAATTGGCATCATGGGAGCTCCGCCCTTATAGCCTCTTCTAATTTTAAGTACTTTCTAAAGGTCTTACTTCCAAATACCATTAACATGTGACATGGGGGATTAACTTGTCCACATATTCACACCACCGCACTTAAGTACTTTGAGGGCTAAACAAGGGGAGAACTGAGGTACAATGCACAGCATGTCCATGACTCTAAGAAAATCAGGAAAATCCTCCAAATGATGTAAGATGTTAATGGAAGCTACCATCACTAAAACCCTACTGCAGTTTGCACTGGGATCAAACCAAATCACATGGAACAATGAATTACCCTTGCACATTGTGGTAAAACTAGCTTATTTGGCATTTAGTTTTTCATTCAGTATGCTTCTCTGTTTTGTAACTTATATGAAGCAATATGAGATAGCTGTAGAGGACCATTAGATGGGTGGAGCCTTCACATGGAGGCGCTGGGGAGCTTGGTGACTGAAGTATAGCACTGGAAAAGGAATGGTGTGATATCAGTAGGAGTCCTGATTGGTAGGTCAAAGTGACAAACAGAAGGGGTCATTTTTTGCTCCAAATTTTGTGTTATCCATAAAGACATGGAACACGACCATAGACATCTAGGTCCTTTACCTTTACAGGTTATCACTTTCTGCAGTGTCAACCTGGCATCAGAGGATTTGACAAACCAGGCACTATGGAACATACCTGTAATCCTAGCACTCTGGGATCCAGAAGCAGGAGGAGGCTGGGCATGTTCAAGCCCAGCCTGGGAAAATTAGTAAGACTTTCTCTACAAATAAAATTTGTAAAGGGGCTGGGATGTAGCTTAGTGCAAAGGCCCTGGGTTCAAGCCCCAGTACTGACAAATTAGTTAATTAATTAGTTCATTTGAGGAACTGTTTAGTGAGGTCCTGACTTTGCTGATTGCTCACTGGGGGCCTAATAATGTTTGTGTAAGGGCTTCACAGTATTAACTCATTTACCCTTCTCAACAGCCCCATGATATGGCTATAATTACTACGAATAAGAAGGATGAGACTGACTGTGGCTAAGTTTCCAGCTGAAGGTCACATAGCCAGGAGCAGCAGCAGGATGTGGCTCCTGGCAGTCCTGATACCAGCCCCACGTGCCAGCCCCTGGTGGAGACTCTCCTGAGTTACTTCAGTGGGGTAGGGGACAAAGCTCAGGTGGAGAGGTGCATGCTGCTCCTGAGGCCATGATCTGAACACTCTTTGCAGGATTCACTCATCAGGGATGATGGGCACCAAAAGGCCCACTCCATTGAGCTGCTAGGAAAGAAGACGCATGAAGTACCAGCACAGAACCTAGTATAATGAGATTTCCTACACCACACAAGTCCCCCGGACTGCTCTGAATGTTCCCAGATCATCTAGACTCTTTATTCTGCTGTCAGGCATTGGGGCTGTGTCCTTTGCAGGTAGCATGTCTTGGGACAGACTGGTCAGCAGCACCTGGCCTCCTGGGCCAGGTTTGGGTCTCCCATACTGCATACATGCTAAAATACCCTGTGGTGATGAGACATGGCTTCATTAGAAAGGGACTCAGCGGTGCTTACGCCTTTGTAATGTGCATGTGTGCCCGAACCCTTGCCTTGCCACTGTGTACAGGGTCGACTGGCCAGCCTCATGCATCCCAGGTTGCCTCTCAGATGATCTGTCTATTTATCAGCACTCGGGCTCTGCACCAGAGACTCTGTTTCCTTATCCACCTACCGACTCTCAGATAATAAGCTGGGATTGATTCTGCAATTTCCCAAACACAAAGAATCTCAATCCCGCTTAGAAACAGGATTTAGCATGAGGTAAAGGGTAGACAAGGGGGGCTGTACTGCAAATGCCCCTGTTAGTGCAGGCTGCCTAGCAAAGTTCACATAGGTGAGCTAGTTATAGAAAGAATGCAGTGTCTGGGTTGAAAGCTCAAAGTCTTGGCCCCTGCCGTTGGATAAACACTGCAAAACTTCTAAAGGGTAATTCTACATGGTTTGTGTTTGAGACAAGAACTGAGAATCAAAAGCTGGCACAGACTTGTGAACAGGAAAAAGACGGGGACTGTGGTGTTTTAGATTATAAATTCAGCCGGGGAAATACTGGAGGGAATCAAACTAAAAGGTAGCTTGGAGGCCAGTTGCCTGGGTTTCTGTTCCAGCTTTGACACTAGACTGCTGTGTGGCCTTGAGCAAGAAATGAAACAGCTCTGTGTTTAGCATTATCTCTTGCAAAACAGAACATACTAGAGTGCAAGAATCCCTTGGCTCTCATTTGTGAAGCATAACCTACCATGCATAGTAAGGGTTGATAAGACTTAGAGATCACTGTTACCTCTGAATGGCAGCGGGAACCTGGCTGGGACAGGTGCTGTGAGAAAGGATGTCCTGAAAGGCACAGAAGAGCATGACAGTTCGACCTGCTTGCTCTGGGTCTTCGTCTCCGCTTTCTCAGCACGGCCTGCGTGTTGACCTGCTCTTACCTGTTAACCTGGACAGACAGCGCTCTCTCTCTCTCTCTCTCTCTCTCTCTCTCTCTCTCTCTCTCTCTCTCTCTCTGTCTCTCTCTCTGTCTCTCTCTCTCTCTCTTTCCCTCTCTCTCTTTCTCTCTCTCTCTCTCTCTCTCTCTCTCTCTCTCTCTCTCTCTCTCTCAGCTCCTGCCCCTTCCATCTCTTCCTGATCCCTCCATCTCTTGTTCCCTTTTCCATTTGCAAAAGTTCTTTTCCCATTCTCTTGGAAGGGAAAAAAGATAAATTTTTTTGTCTGACACATTATTCTCATTCTAGAAGCTTAAAAAGTTCTAGAAATAGAAAGGAGGAAATTATAGCAAAAACAAAAAACAAAGCCCTAACACCACCTCATAAAAACAGAAAGCAAAAAGATGTGGCCCCAGACCCCAGCTGTAACCTCTTGGGTTTGGTGCCTTTGATAATTTACTTTTGTTATTTGTTTCT